TGTAATATCAACTACCAAAACGAACTCCCACATATCATCTAATCAATTATTTACATATAAATAAAAAACACAAAATTTAATAACCACACAACCCACTCTTTAACAGATTTTAGAATGAAGTGTTTGTTGTGGTTTTAAGTAAAGGAGAAAAACATAGGACCTGATTGTCATGGTTACATGTTATAATTAAAAGAGACAAAGAGATTGAAATCAATCCAATAAAACTTGAAATTCATCCATAAAAGTTGAAATTTCAAATATCAAAATAATACTGCTATTGATTTGGTTTATTTTGTTTGTGCTCTACATCCTATTACATCTATGGTCATTTAAGGATGGGCTAGGTTTCAGTGGTGGAGGAAAGCCAAAGTACCTAGAGAAAAGCCACAGACCCACGGCCAAGACTGCCTCACGCCAAACCTGGGACCCCGTGGTGGAAGGTTAATGATCACAGACAGTCAGACGCCTTGAATACTTAGACACCACTGCCAAAACTTCTACCGATATACCAATGGTAATACCACTGTAATAATATCAACCTGAACCAATTTGATCTACCAATGGTGATACCACTGTAAAAATATTAACCTGACCCAATATGATCTTCCAATGGTGATACCACTGTAATACTATTAACCTGAACCAATTTGATCTACCAATGGTGATACCACTGTAAAAATATTAACCTGACCCAATTTGATCTACCAATGGTGATACCACTGTAATACTATTAACCTGAACCAATTTGATCTACCAATGGTGATACCACTGTAAAAATATTAACCTGACCCAATTTGATCTACCAATGGTGATACCACTGTAATACTATTAACCTGAACCAAATTGATCTACCAATGGTGATACCACTGTAATACCATCAACCTGAACCAATTTGATCTACCAATGGTGATACCACTGTAATACTATTAACCTGACCCAATATGATCTACCAATGGTGATACCACTGTAATACTATTAACCTGAACCAATTTGATCTACCAATCGTGATACCACTGTAATACTATTAACCTGACCCAATTGGATCTACCAATGGTGATACCACTGTAATACTATTAACCTGACCAGTTTGATCTACCAATGATGATACCACTGTAATACCATCAACCTGAACCAATTTGATCTACCAATGGTGATACCACTGTAATACTATTAACCTGACCCAATTTGATCTACTAATGGTGATACCACTGTAATACTATAAACCTGAACCAATTTGATCTACCAATGATGATACCACTGTAATACCATCAACCTGAACCTATTTGATCTACCAATCGTGATACCACTGTAATACTATTAACCTGACCCAATTTGATCTACCAATGGTGATACCACTGTAATACTATTAACCTGACCCAATAATCTAATGCAGTCAATGCTAGTAATGAGAACCAAGACCATCATTCGAACACAGATTTTTGTATCCTTTGTAGTAATAGTGTAAAGTAAAAAAAAATCAGTAGAAAGATCCATGTTCACACACAAGTCTGACAAACTGCAACAATCTCAATGACAGCAGAGCAGACAATGATAGCCAGACCATGGTCAAGACATGGGCAAGTGTAAGGGGAACAATACTGCAGCTACCATTAGAAGTACGTGATTCTGTTTCTCCTATTCAGAATTAACAAGGTTCCACATTCTCCACACAAAGTTTTGAAATGGTTCCATTTTCTATACTGCTACAATGGTAAAATGACAATTTCTTTTTAATTACTTGTAAGAGTAAAGCAAAAAAATAGATTCACTCAAAGGCATCCTTGATACTCCAGTCATTACAATCACTTATGCATTCTGCACCCCTGGAATATGTCATAGCAAAATTGGAGGCACGCTACTAGCTATTTGACTCATTTCAGGTAAAAAAAGAAAACCTGACCAATCACTTGGCTGATACCTGTCCTTTGAAAATTACACAGGAGCAACACCCCACTTCAAAACCCGTTAATTTTACCATTACGATTTTGGCATGACATATTCCAGGGGTGCAGAGAGCATAGGTGAGCGTAACCCCTGGGTTATCGAGGATGGTACAACCTAGAACATCTGTCCTGAAGATTTACTATATAAACAATTTGTGTATACAATACATATGATATTATACTTTTTTTTTATATGCATTAGTAGTTATTGATTGATAAAACCTTATTTTTGTCACTACACAAGTGAGAAACGGTATGTAAAATACAATTAGAACTTACACTATCATTATCATAAATATAATGCTGTATTATATGATTTCGTTATAACAACGGTGAACAGGCTCTGAAGTGAAGACTTGAAGCACATCTATAAACGTCGATACATGTTCAAAGGTTAATCTTTTTGATTTTCTGCTAAGCAAGACACTTTAAGCATTCTTATTTTAGGGCACGCAAATTTTAGTGCATTATCAATGTTTAACAGGTCAACAATGTAATGGTATGTTAAAGAAACAATCTACAGGAACTCTATAAATGCAATCGTAAGCTAAATACCCGCTAACAAAGGGCTTGTCTGAATTTAGTTATTGCGCTAAATTAGATTACTACTAAAATATGTACGCTTACAATTATGTCAATCAATTTTTTGCATAGATGAACATAATCAATGCATGTAAATGATTAACAAAATGAGATACTTTATGTCAATCTCTGAAGTCTAAAGTTTGTACAGACATTCTGTAACAGTGTGTACAGTACCAACATGTTACATTTATAACAAAATGAGATACTTCAGGTCAATCTCTGAAGTCTAAAGTTTGTACAGTTATTCTGTAACACTGTGTACAGTACCAACATGTTACATTTTGTACGACACAGTTCTGCAAAAATACAGATTTAGGAGAGTGTCTTAAATAAATACTTAGGCGATAAAAATAAATACAAGTAAAATCAACAACATTGGAATGTTTTAACAAAAATAATGGGAATATTTTGCTGAATTTTTGCCTTTATGGCCTCCTAAATGAGGGTGAATTTATCATGACAGCGAAATTTCAACTGGACGAATATGGATTTTACCGGTGAAAGGTAAATATATGACATGGTATAGGTTTCCAGGTACACGAGAGATCATATGATATAGTAAAACCTATTAAACCCTGAATTTTGTTCATCACAGAAAGTAAGTCATGGCTGTGCTTTCGTACTGAGCAGATTATCCCATGTCCTATCTTGAAATGCCATGTCCATAGCTACTGTATAAAAAATGGCTTCCTGATTTTTTTTTCTTTCACAACAAGACTGTAGACAGTTGTGAATTCAAGTACAAAGTTGAACAATCTAGTTATTCTTCAAACCTTCCAATTTTAGAGAAGTTGGATGCAGTGTAACTGAATCAATACAACATGTAAAGTCTGCAAACCTTTTTAACTAAATTTCTTGAGGTTCTTTGCTGTGAAACATTATACCGTTGGTCTGTGTGCATACAACTGGTATAGGTGTATTGCCTCAGTTTCAGAGTGAAACACTACCCTTAAATCTAGGTAATGGTACACATATTAAAACACATCAACGTAAACCACCTTCATTTCGCAAGCTACACTTTGCATGTATTTTCATATCAAATTGCACAGAGGTTACATCACAAATTTTGAATAGTTGGTCCATCGTCCACTAACTGTTCAAAACTCACAAGATTTTCACAAGAATAGATACATTTAGGATGATTTATTTTTTTCAAAAAAAATGGGGCAAAATAATCCTATGGTATTCACAAATGGAAAAACTCAATTAACTTCTTTAAAATACAAACCACTAACTGAAGTTCTTGACAAAAACTCATCCTTTTTTGTTACAAATCGACAATAGGACGCTACATTGGATACCCTAAGCCTTTGATTATTATAAAATTAATGACAGAGATCCTTCGATGTAACAGCACACATTACGGAATATTTACATTAACATAGGTACCCAGTAATAATCTGACCCAAGTAACATAGAAAGTATTTTGATTGAGAAATACAGTTAACCCTTTCACCCCTATGTAACTTTAGTAGACTCTACCATGCATTAATCTGGATGAGTCCATTATGGTCTACAGTGATGAAAGGGTCAATATACATGTCCTTATTTGAAAATGTCCTGAAGACAGAATATCTTTATACATGTACATTTGTATTTGCAGACTTTATCAGAGTATCAATTTAAATAAATTTCGTAAAAGCAAATAACAGATATCTATTTATTACGACTGTAATGGAAACGTTTACACATGCAATTCCGAAAACAAATTTGACACCAAAACTGGACCACCCCCATTTAAGGCTATGACTAGTGGTCAACCAGCTGGCCCTTCATCAAGCACTCAACCCTCCAGGTACAGTCATGGTCAACCAGCTGGCCCTTCATCAAGCACTCAACCATCCAGGTACAGTCAGTACTGAGAGTTAGCTTAACTTCCAACACACGGAAAATGACACACAAACCTTATGTTCACATAAGCTAGAAGATGGACCAGATTGTTAAAACGTCAATAAACATGACCATTACATCATTAACTATTCCTTAACCGAGGCAATGGAATCAGATCTCTTTATGTTGATGCGTCATGCAGTCATTAATGAATTCCAATCAATGATATTTTATCCCCAGATTCTAAAAAACAAATATCTACATACAATTGTTAGGAGACGCGGTAGTCTAGTGGTAGGACGCCGGGCTCGTGACCGAAGGGTTGCGGGTTCGAGTCACAGCACTGTGTTGTATCTTTGAGCAAGATACTTTACTCTGCTTGTTCCAATCTACTCAGCTGTAATTGAGTATGTGGTTGGACAGTGCTAGAATAATAGAATGCTAGCCGTGAGCGCCGAAATGGCAGCACCGGCTGTATGCTCCCCAGGGAATTGAGAAAGATATTGGCTGGTTGCAAAGGCCCTATAACCACGGATAATAATTTGTGAACCGCTTTGAGACGACCTACTAACTAGTTTGTGATAAAGAGGTATATGAGAACCTCAAATTATTATCATTAATATTATACACATGTACCAATAAATTAAAAAAAAAAATGTGACATTGTCACATCCTAGATTAAAATAAGATATTAGTCTACTTGATTCAGCCAGTCAGTGAAAGTGTCTTATCTTGGTTCCAGTCACAAGAAAGTTCAATTAGTGACTGAATAGCCAATCAGAAGCTTTGTGTCATCCTTGGCTTTAGTATCCCTGTAGCTCCTGGATGTTGTAGTAAGCTTGTAAACAGTCAGGGTTTGACAGCGCCCCCTGTTGGGGAACAGATTGGTCATGTATAGCTCTTCTTACAGCAACCTCCACCTTCTTCCCGCTGATGGTGTACTATGTATACAAAGGGAGACAATTCACATGCTTGTTTATATTGTAGATATAAGATTTTTACTACTTGCTCTATATTTAGACATTGATATATGATTGTTGATATGTATCCGCTTGATGCAATTTAAAGTCCATAATGTAAAGCCTCAAGAGTTTCTATTTATAGTAATGGTGACCTTGACCTTTGACCTTCGGACCTGAAAAGCGGTCCCAAGCACTATTTGTAAGAAAGCACTGTTAAAGTTTGAGTTCAATCAACCCAAGGGAACTCAAGTTATCGCACGGAAACCTTGTTTCGGACGACACAACTGACAACGCCGACAAAGTAATACTTACATGTCGTCTTGTGTTTCAGGCGACACAAAAATAGGAGAATAATTGTTTGAGTTATTGTGTAAACAAGGAAAAGTAAACGGAAAAAATGAAGTACAGTGATGCTATGTCAAGTGTGATACGCCAAAATGTGGAAAGTTGAAACTCGACAGAAAAACCTGTAATATATGTTGAAGGTATTGCTTCTAGCATTACCGTACAAAATTTGAAACGCATTGATTAGAAAATAAAAAAGTTCTTACATTTACTACACAATGCCCGTATTTGGCAATGAAAGGAGCCTACAGTCCCACAATGAAAAAGGGACAAAACTCTGCCGAATATTACGATTTAAGAACTCATCCAATGCATTCAGGTAACGAAACATCCCACCAAGTTCGACAAAAATTGAAGAACAATTGTTTGAGTTATCTTTAAAAGGTCTTGCATTTACCACACAATGCCCTTATTTGGCAATAAGGGGCATAACTCCACCAAAAATGCAAATAAACTTCTGAAATTGGTATGCAATACGTGTACCAAGTTTGAGTTTAATCAACCCAAGGGAACTGAAGTTATTGCACAGAAACCTTGTTTTGGACGACACACTGATGCCGCCAACAAGGTAAAACCTATATGTTGCCTTGCAACACAACTAGGCGACACAAAAAGGACATCAAACAAATGTAAAGGTAAAAGACAAACGTCAACTTGAATATTTGGTGACTCATACCTTTTTTTTTATAAAGACCACCAGCTTTGAAATAGTTTAAAATTGTAGAGACAAGTTATTTTTTTTCGAAAAGAGATTTAAGACATGTAACGCTATTAATGAAATTTCTCAAGTTGGCTGAAGGTTGATGCAATCTAATAACAAGTATTTTACTGTTAGTGGTTCTTGACATGCTATGCATTGAGGCTGGTCTTCATGTTTAAATAAATAATGATGGGTAATGTATGACTGTCCCATCTTGGGAAGAGCAAGGAAGTAAATGAAAGTAGCATGAAAGAAAACACACTTTGCACATGAAATGTACTTTAAAAGTTTAAGGTCGCAGTAAATCTATAGCTATAGCAATATTTTGTTTCTGCTGTATAGGTATTCCAATATTTTTGCATATCACTAGTCGGCAGAAAGTTGAAATCTATCGATTTTTGATGGAAAAACATGTTTCAAGAAAAAAAAATTCACTGTTAACAATGGCATACAACATGAAATGGTAAAATAACGTAAATACACCAAAGATACATGTATCAGTTTGGGTCCAGCTAGAAGGAAATGTACATACCGGTATAGCAAGTGTCTCCAGTACAACAGCTGGCATGTGGCGTGCCGATAGTTCAGCTCTTATCCTAGTCCTGAGGCTTGAGACAAGGTCTTTGTTGAACACCCCCTCTTTGGCCATCTTGACAAACAGAACGACACGCTCCTCGGACATGTCTGCCTTCCTCTGTGCCACACACACACTGTCATCAATCTCCTTGAAGGACTCAACTGCAAAAACACAACACCGTTATAAAATTATAGTGTATCCTCTAGGTTATTTGTCTGGACACATCAATCAGACTAGAAAACACATGAATGCCCTCTTGGACCTATAAATAACAACAGTGACTTTAGCATCGACCTTGAGACCCTGAAATATGAACTCATTTGAGGTAATCTCTCTCACACTTGACCTTTTCATAAATTTTGATGGCAGCCATTCCCCCCCCNCCAGAGTGCCTGTATCGCACACCTGGATATGTTTCAAGTACTTGATATGAAGCAAAGATATACCACTCCATGGTAGGTACTGTATATATGTACATATTAAATTTCAGAAAGATTCATCAAGTATTTCTGGAGATATCGCAAGAGCAAACTTCAAATGTCAAAATCCAGGATGGCGGTCTGATGGCCATCTTGTTTTAATGAATACACTCTAATAGTAACAGGTACTACTAGACAACTTGATGGAGACAAAAATGGGATAAGATCCCGTAATCCCTATGGTAGAAGATGGATTTCAAAGGTTTTACTTCTTTTTCCCATATTGGCCCCGACTCTCTACCCCTATGGGGGCCACACCCACCATTTATACAAAATTGATTCCCCTTGGGCCAAAGATGCTCCAGACCAAATTTGGTTAAAATCCACTAAGCCATTCAGGACTAGTAGCATTTAAAAGGAAAAGTTGACGGACGGACATTGCACCATGGCATAAGCTCACTTGCCCTTCGAGCAGGTGAGCTGAAAACTACAAACCAATAGAACATAAGTACATTTGACAAAGAAGAGAATTTTAGTACTCAATTCATAAACAGGTGAAGTAGTCAACAGTCAACAGACCTAACTTTGGTTTCAAAAATGAACCAAGGGACATAATTATGTAATTACAGTTATAAAGTGTGGTTACTAGACTTGATATCGTAGAGGTCCTTGCATACAAAATTAAGCAGTTGTAGTTGACAAGAGTATATATGTCCTTGACAAACTGATGCATGACCATGGGCCAGTTCGTTTATGATGAATAACCAGTACATCCATTTTTGAACAAAATGTTTCAGGTATAATCCTGGCAGACCGGCAAAAGTTTATGCAGGCCTTGCAAGGCTTTGTCAAGGCTCGCCTGAAAGCAGCATCATATTACTAAGTCTGACCTTATTTCATAAAAGAACAACTGTGGTCCAACCTGATCAACCGTTTGGATCGCGATAAATAAAAATGGCTCTGATCTCTATAATACGGTACAGCAAACAGGAACTTACCCACATTGTAGATTTCAGCACTACCAAATCTAACCCCGTTAGGATTCAAAACACCGTCACTGAAACAGATATACTTTCTTTCAAAAACCAAAAAAGTAAAACTTGCTGAATTTTATCATCAGTTTTTTACTAATTTGTCCTACATTGATAACTTTACGGGCAGAAAATTTCCTCTAAAATATTTGCATTAGTAAAACTTTAATCAGATCTCCACCCATATATCTTATAGAGTATCAATCTGATACTTTTAAAATAAGTCTATCTAAACAGATAGAATTTGTCTTACCTACGTCCCAGCATGACGATCCCACCAGTTTCTTTGTTGATACTACAGAAGTCGCCATGGGCCCACACATCTAGTACAACATAAGGTAATCAATTAGACAGTGTAACTTCATGATCTATCTTCTACAGCAACAATCAAAACTAAGCTTGTTACGTCACTGCTGAAGGTAACAAATTTTGACAATGCATTAATCAAAATGAAAACTATAAATGTGTCGGCAAAGGTCAGTCACAAAAATATCTAAAACATGTTATACTCATAAGGGTGAATAGGTATGTGAGGTTACACGACACTAGCTGCAGTAACTGACCATAACTGACCATAACTGACCTAAACTCAAAAACATAACAAAGAGCACAAATGTCAAGGTCAAAGTTACAAAAATGTCATGAAACAAATTCTACTCAAAAAGGTACATAAGCATGTGAAGTTGCACGACCCTCATCTACAGTACTTGGTCCATACCCTCATCTACAGTACTTGGTCCATACCCTTATCTACAGTACTTGGTCCATACCCTCATCTACAGTACTTGGTCCATACCCTCATCTACAGTACTTGGTCCATACCCTTATCTACAGTACTTGGTCCATACCCTCATCTACAGTACTTGGTCCATACCCTCATCTACAGTACTTGGTCCATACCCTCATCTACAGTACTTGGTCCATACCCTCATCTACAGTACTTGGTCCATACCCTCATCTACAGTACTTGGTCCATACCCTCATCTACAGTACTTGGTCCATACCCTCATCTACAGTACTTGGTCCATACCCTCATCTACAGTACTTGGTCCATACCCTCATCTACAGTACTTGGTCCATACCCTCATCTACAGTACTTGGTCCATACCCTCATCTACAGTACTTGGTCCATACCCTCATCTACAGTACTTGGTCCATACCCTCATCTACAGTACTTGGTCCATACCCTCATCTACAGTACTTGGTCCATACCCTCATCTACAGTACTTGGTCCATACCCTCATCTACAGTACTTGGTCCATACCCTCATCTACAGTACTTGGTCCATACCCTCATCTACAGTACTTGGTCCATACCCTTATCTACAGTACTTGGTCCATACCCTCATCTACAGTACTTGGTCCATACCCTCATCTACAGTACTTGGTCCATACCCTCATCTACAGTACTTGGTCCATACCCTTATCTACAGTACTTGGTCCATACCCTTATCTACAGTACTTGGTCCATACCCTTATCTACAGTACTTGGTCCATACCCTTATCTACAGTACTTGGTCCATACCCTTATCTACAGTACTTGGTCCATACCCTTATCTACAGTACTTGGTCCATACCTTTATCTACAGTACTTGGTCCATACCCTTATCTACAGTACTTGGTCCATAACTAACCTAAATGCAGAACTAACCTAAATGCAGAAATTTCACAGGTTGGATGTACAAACAAACAAGAGCAACACCATATGCCCTGAACCAGTTTGTGAGAGGGCATAACAAATACACAGCAGTAGCAGTAGCAGTATCGGGGGGGGGGGGGGGGGGGGGGAGNGTTGATAGCCTGGATTGACTGCAGGGTCACAGATTAGGATTTGACAGATTGTAGTATGTGATTGTGTTCTTGAGCAAGACACTTCACTGTTGCTGATCAACTCCCACTTCCCTAGCTACAGTGGAGTATATTAAAGTCTAGACTTGATATATTGGTCTCTTTGCAGTAGTATTCAAGTGGTATGAAACTACAAATGATGAGCTGTTGGAAATATCAACTCATAACAAGAAAAACACACTCGCACAGATGTACTAAATGGCTTATCACATACTCTATACTGGGAGTATTTCGCTACAGTTAAATTTCACATTTTTGCCCTCTACAATAAGGGTGAATTTATCATGACAGCAAATATTAGTACACATTTGACCTTACAAAGTTATTACATGTGAAGGGCGGAATTCACACTGGGGGAATATAGATTTTCCCGGTGAAGGGCAAACATTTGTCTTGGAATGCTGTACCTCTGTAAATCATGGATTCTACCACAAAGCCTGATATACAACAGGTTTCCACATTACTGCAGATTTTTTTTAAATATGGCGAACATCAGATCTAGATAGTCATAACTTAATGTCATTAATATAGCAAACATTTAAACCTTTGCAAGATATAAATGCTAAACGGTACACAGTGTCATGAGTTGATTTTTTTTTATAATATTAATCGATCAGGTGAAATAGATTCATTATTCATCAAGAAACCCTGAATATCTTCTCTAAATTCAATACTTACTTTTGTACATGCTGAAGTATGCCTTCTGGTATTTCGTACCATCAAGGTCATTCCAGAAGTTCACAGGCATGGAGGGGAAGGGGGTTCTGCACACCAACTCTCCGCTCTCGTTGTAGACCACCTTACCTGTAGGTGAACAAACATAGATGAACAGAGACAAAGGAGCTAAATATCACACAGGCTTTAGATAAACATCTTACCTCCTCTACAGGTCAGTGAAGATCACTGGTCGTATTACACAGGTTTTATCAGAACATTGCCTCACATGAGTTATTATGACATGTACTGGTCACATTACACAGGTTTGTATCAGAACATTGCCTCACATGATTTATTATGACATGTACTGGTCACATTACACAGGTTTTATCAGAACATTGCTTCACATGAGTTATTATGACATGTACTGGTCACATTACACAGGTTTTTATCAGAACATTGCCTCACATGAGTTATCATGTTTAAAAGTACCTGTCATATTACATATGGTTTCTTCAGAACATTACCCCACATGGTACTGGTTGCATTACACAGTTTTTATGTAAAATTGCCTAATTTTCAAGTCAACAAAATTTCGATGAAAAAAAATACAGCCAGGGGAATCCGTAGCAATTTAATTCATTCTTAATATAGCCTGGAATTGGAGAAAAAAAATAATCCCATAAAATTCTGAGACCATGATTTTTTTTTTTTTAAATTAGCACCCACTTACCAGACTCATCCCATGCCTCCATATCACAGCCCAGAACAAAACCCTGGACCTCACCGCGGTAGACAGGCACGGTCCAGTTCTGTCCCATGAAGCAGGCGATAATGTCTGTGCCGCCCGATATGGACGCCAGAAGTAGATCCTTCTTTATGTCCTTGTACACGTAGTCATAGCTCTGGGGCTTCAAGGGGGAGCCTGTCGAAAGGATCGCCTTCAGGGACGTCAGCTTGTGTGTGGAACCTACATGTAGTGATAAACTTACAGCTAAAGTCTCTCAAGTCGCGTCCTGTTAAAATATCACATTATTTAACCAAATACGTGCCCCATCCTCTTAACCTCTATCTTGTTTCAGTATCTCATCTCATTACTGTAATCTACCAACTTGCTAGATTAATTTTGCAATCGTAACAAAAACAAACATCTTTTAAATGGTTTTCAGAAATCCTTACAAGACAAACTGAATTTGCTATCAGTTTGAAAAAATTATGGATTATTATCCGATATCTGAACAGTGATAATAAATTGACACCGGTATACCGTTTGTATATACCACTGATATTAATCTGGGGTAAGACTCTTTAAACCTTCATCTACATTGTATATATACCCAGTACATTTCACTTAATATCACGTCTGTTAATGTCACTTTTCGGTTATTATCATGGTTTTTTTGATGCACCGTTTTTCCTGCTATATAATCTATGCAATTCAATTCTTTTATTATCACCTGATTTTATGTCGATTTCTCTTAATATCACTTTATTTTGGCCACTTTCACCAAAAAATACAGGTAAATGGTGGTATTGATTCATGATAAATGCCCTGGGGACCTTCTGTCACACCCTGGATGCATTATGTAAACAATGCCTTGGCCTAACAGGGTATTTTTTACACCTGGCTGACTGTCAAACAATAGGTTACACCTGGCTGACTGTTAAACAATAGGTTGACTTACATACTTGTTAACATGATATTCACCTGTGGTTGGGGGAGCTAGGACAGTCTAACATCTGTAAACTTTTCTAATGCCAAGTGTGATGTATTCTTTCAACTAATTATAACATGTGTACTATCTTCGATTACACACTTGCAGCAAATATCTAAGAAAATTAACCTATAAAAAGATGTTACTAGCGAAAGAACATTATATATATCAAGATATAGGTAAATATTTACCAATTCTCATGTTTACAATTGGATTTGATGCAGAATACCATCCAAACACTTGTATGCCTACATCACTACTGCAGTAAACAATCATAATTACAATCGTACTGATCGTCATTTTGCTAATAACTATATGAAATGTAACTGCATACTGAAATGAAATACAAATAATATATTTATTTCTATACTTATTTACTTATATCTATATTTCAACTAGGGTAAAGAACAGGGTTAGTTACAAAATATCAATCTTCTTCGTAGAGCCACATCACTTAGGCATTTGACTAAGTTCACTTACAGTTTTGAGGGCTGAAAAACATCAGAAAATATGTATTCTGTTTATGTCATGTTTCTGTTAATATCATGTTTTTCTCTGACAAATGGGAAGTGATATTAAGAGAAATCTACTGTATACCTATACCTTTGGTACAACAGCAGGGGAGATTACTCCTTAAACCATGGCATATTTGGAGAGAGACTCTTTTAACATTTATGTACATTACCTGGTGTGAGACCCTTATCCTCCATGACGGCCAGCCACTTGGCACTACTGCCTAGAAACGTCACCCTGTGGGACACATAATTCATATCAGTATTACATCACAAAGCCAAAGGTACATAAGATTACAAAGAGTATATAAGATTATGTCTCATTAAGTTAAAAATCTTTCATTAAGAAAATTAACAAATTGTGGGGTTTGTTACTGTGAAACTTGTCTAAACCAAACAACAATGGTATCAACATTCCATTCATGAAGAATTATATTCACTCATTCATCCCTGAAATTTCATAATGAACTATTCCAACCTTTTAATTGGAAGGGTTCAAATATGTCTTCAGGGGTGAATGACTTAAAGGACTTTATGGGGCATTTTCAGCCTTATAAAAAGTAACAATTTCTACTTGTATTTTATTAATCAATTTCTTTTATAAACATCATATTGGTTAATTTAGGCTTTCTTTCCTTGAGCACATTTTTTTTCATTGTCCATGCGTAGATGCCCTACCATAGCAACAAAATTGTGTTGCTATGCAGAAATAGCCAAAATATGTTGTTTTTGGACAATTAGCATGCAGAAATGAAAGCCTCTGCATGTGACAACTAAAAATTAATTTCCATGAATGAACATTGGTAGGACAATAGTTAAGCATGCCAAATATTCATTTGGTTGGTGCATGCGGATGCTTTCAAAAATTGAAGAGTGTTAGTTAATTTGATTCAAAATGGCAAATTTTCAACATAACTTATGCACAATAGGTGATATTCACACATTTTATAATGAAAATGAGGGTTTATCCCTCTCTTTGTTAAGCCATATCACCTAAACCAGTTAATGAATTTGAAATTTCATATTTCATTAAGTCTTCGTTTATTCCAGATGAATAATATAACAACTAATTCTAAATCCCTGATGAGGCTGGAAATGACCCTTTACTAGTGATGGGCAATCGGTTTAAAATCATAATCGATAATCAGTTTGTAATCAGAAGAAGTAAACCGATCGATGATCGATTGAATAATCGTTTCATAATTTTATGGGTCTGAATACCCAAATAAAGTGACAACACTAGCATAACGTCACTAGACAGAGTTGTTAACTATACACTACCATAACGTCAATAGACAGAGTTGTTAACTATACACTACCATAACGTCAATAGACAGAGTTGTTAACTATACACTACCATAACGTCAATAGACAGAGTTGTTAACTATACACTACCATAACGTCAATAGACAGAGTTGTTAACTATACACTACCATAACGTCAATAGACAGAGTTGTTAACTATACACTAGGTTTAGTTCTTTTATAATGAATGTATTTTAAGCAAGTTTTATGCAGTTTTATCAATCATAATTATAACTAGAAATTGTTGGCTAACAATTTGACGGGCTTTTCACTGTAAGGGTTACTTCCCTTACACCAGTAGTAAAAGTCCTGGTATCTGGCAAAATTACATGTTCGAATTTGACCTCTATCAAATACCGGAAGTTGATCTTTAATGGTTATTTATTTCCATTAACCATGTAGCCCATCATCCTAGCATGCTACAGACCAAATATCAATACCCTGGCCATTTCCGTTATTGAGAAGGAGTCTTTTGAAGACTTTAACATAATTGACCCCAGTGACATTGAACATTGGTCAAGGTCATTCATATTTTCAAACTTAATAGCCAATTACCTGACCATGTTAAGTATGAAATAGTAGGGCTCTAGACCTTGTGGAACTTAAGAAGAAGATTTTTTAAGGTTGGTACCCAATATAGTGCATTTTAACTTTGACCCCTGCCGAGAATCGGAAGTTGACATTTTTTGTTAAAACAGTATGAAAGAAAAAGTTTGCTCTTGGCTATCTCTATATGATATTCAAAGATCAACCTCGTGTTTGATATCGATAACGAAATATATTGGTATAGGCTGTTAACCAATCAGAGTTCGTGGCGGCCATCTTGGAATATTAATGGCTCCAAAATGTAACATAAGTTCGTAAGGGCCCCTATAGGAATACATGTACCAATTGTGGTTAATATTGCAATGGCAGAATTGGAGAAGAAAATCGTTGAAGTTTTAACATATTGTCAGCATTTTAAAAGATCAAAGGAAATATTCAAAATGGCGTACAACGTTAACGGTAAATGTTACAGAAAAACTAAAGACATCTAATTCATCGGAATGACATTCTCCATCGATCTATTGAAGAATTCTGTAAAAAAAATGAAAAATGAATATTTTTTAAAAATTGTGACCTTTGACCCAACAGCGAACTTTTTCATTTGACCTTTTAAGTAATAATATACGGTAGAAAAAAGTTAGCCCTGAACTTTATCTACAAATGATGTCTTAAAGGCTGTAAATTCAACTGTGTTTGAGTTATAGCCATTTTAAGATTTTTAAGGTATGACGTCATGGCGGCCATTTTAATTTTTCAATGAAGTTGATTTTTTTTTAAATGTTAGAAAACATCTGGGGAAACCTTTTTCATAACAAATAAATCAAATATTTGTCATTGATATTGGAGTAAAACAAGTTTTAAAATATTGCGAATTTTTTAAAAGATCAAAGGAAATATTCAAAATGGCTTAAAACGTTAACGGTTAACGTTACAGAAACACTAAAGACATCAAATTCATCGGAAGGACATCCTCCATCGATCTGTAGAAGTATTTTTCCAAAACAATGAAAAAATAAATGTTTTTTAAAAATTATGACCTTTGACCCAACAGCGAGCTTTTTTATTTGACCTTTAAATGAAAAACCATGCAGTAATTAAAGTTAGCCCCTAAGATAATCTACATATTATATAATTGCGTCAATTCTGTAAATTAAACCGTTTTTGAGTTATGGACATTATTAGATTTTGACCTATGACGTCATGGCGGCCATATTTAATTTTTGACCACCTTGAAAATGTTGCTTGATCAGCTTTAGACCTTTTCCTACAACATACTTAAAAGACTATAAATCTCTCTTTTACCAATCAAAAAATACAGATTCCACAAAGTACGGAAGAAGAATAATAAGAATAATAATAATAAGAATAATAATAAGAATAATAAGAAACTTAACAAAAGCAATAGGTCTTTTCACCAGTTGGTGAAAAGCCCTAATAAAAGTCATAAGAATATACGACTTTACATTGAAAACATTAACACTTTGATTTCAATGAAGAACCGATTATATACACAAATTCTGATGAACAAAGTTGATATACCAAGTTAAAGGTAACTTTATCCCATGGGTTTTTATATTCAGAACAAATTTTTATACACAGTGGCCTAAACATTTGTCGTTATTTTACACATAAATGATAGGGATTGCTCCTCCTCTACACTCACTCTACATAAACCAATTACAAGCAAGAAAGGAAGTGTATATCATAGATGACCTACCCCACTTCGTCGACGATGTCCCAGAGAATGTTTGCATGGGGAACTAGTGGTGATCCGTCGTACAACACGATAGCTGCTCCCAAAGCTAGTGCAGAGACGAGCCAGTTCCACATCATCCAGCCAACCTGTGATCACAAATAAATATATCAGGTAGACACCACTGATTATCAGGTAAACATCACAGGTAAATACGCAAATGTTAAACATATTGGTAACCATGGAACAAAATTTCAAAACATGTGAATATCATTGATAAATATTCTCAGCAAAAACGTTTTGATTTCGTTTCCTTTCATTTTACAGAAAATGCAGTTTGTCGAATATTTCCATTACATAATTTGGAAGCATTTTCTTGGGTAGTCAAACACTACATCTACTAGAGAAGTCAACCTCGATATTTCAGGGGTTATGCTCACTTACGTTCCCTGCACCCCTGGAATATGTCATGGCAAAATCGAAAGGCTCAGTCTGCACCACCTTGTGGATGAGACAGGAACACTTATTTGATCCTTTGATGTACATCAAAAGAATCTCGTGGTACAGTAAAGGTAAATTGACTTGCTATGAAGTCGGGTGTCATCCCGCTGTAATCTTCAAAGACAGGTCACAGCCTCACGATTGGTCAGGTTTTACTACCCGAGACCAATGCAATCAAATAGCTATTTTCGTGCCTACAATTTTGCAATGACATATTCCAGGGGTGCAGAGAACGTAAGTGAGCAATACCCCAGGATATGGAGGATGCCAGTGAAGAAGGGTAGTCAAACACTACATATCTAGCCCTAAAGTATAAATTATATAAACACGAGGATTCTAGTAAAAGCACCTACTGTTGAGTAGTAGAGCATGACGTCATCACATGTCATGTCACTCTGTATGGCGTGTTCCTCCATGTGCTTTAGTAATGTTCCCTGAAATGAAACAGACACACGTTAGTACAAATTTAATCAGAGAAAAGGTGGAATTGTTCGTGGAGTACCAGTTACCATAGGACGACTTTTTAAAGATGGAAATTTTGCAAAAAGTTCAACAAATTTCCAAAATCTATCACCAACTCGACTGTATGTGTATTCTTGTCATAAAATGAATCAAGTTTATATCTATCACTAGAAGACATGCATGAACTGTTAACATTTAAACTGCTCAAGTTATCAAGGTCAAGCAACATATTTCTTGGGTTTGAGGGGAGGGTTGTATTAAAGGCTGAAAGGATTTTTTTAAGTCTCTCTGAATAATAACTTGAATTATCTGTACTCTTTTTTCAACACCATATATTAACAGTAAATCAACTTCATTTTTTTCACAAAATAACTAAAGTTTGAATTAGAAATAATTACATTTGGTATATGGCAGCTTTATTTTGAACTTTTGTGACAATTTTGGTAAATTTATTTTCAAATCTGATCAGGACAAGTGCAAGCAATCAACAGTCACCCACCTTCAAAATCTGGCATCAACAATAAACTACGTCCATAATAAACAAAATTTCATAGGACACAGTACCATTCTGAGGTACTCCCATAAAATGTTTGGCAGTTGTAAGTGACAGATTATGTGAGATATGTCCCAAACAATGTAAAATATTGACAACAAAGAGTCATAAGCCGGAAACCCTGTATGCGATGGAGCATATAAAAACACAATTTCTATACGTAACACTGCACCATCACAAGGGGTACTCCTAACAAAATTTGGTATTGTTGGTGACATTAAGTATCAAAGATATGCGCTGGAGAAAGTGATGCAAGGATGGATGGAAAGGCAGAAGGGATGCAAATACAGTTGGGAGACAAAATACAATGTTTGAAAACTAAAGCAAAAACAGTAAGAAAAGGGCACCTAAAGTACCTTAAAATATAAAGCAAAAATGATAATGTATTAAAATGTTATTGCAGATTGACTTACTCCGACTGAATGCACCATACACTTGGGTACTCCCGTGGTGCCAGATGAATACATGATGAACATGGGATGGTTAAACGGGACTTGTTCAAAAGTCAGCTCTGGCACCTGGTCATCAGGCATCCCCATGTGGAGGAACTCGGGTAACAAACAGCTACAACAAAACAAGAAATACTATCACTGAAACAAGCAATTAACACACAGTTCTGACGAAGCAAACATTTTAACAAACAGATACAACAAAACAAATAATATTTACAAAACAAATACTTAAGACACATGCACGTACAGTTACTACCAAGCAAAGTGAATACTGTTTATTTTAACAAACAGCAACAAGCAACATTCACAGATGACACAATGATTTCAACTCATTATTACAACAAAACGAAACAAAGATACAAATTAATTTTACCAACTGAGGCACATCAGTCTTTTTTCTAATTATTACAGCAGCCAGTGTCTACAAGAAAATATAGCATTTCCTTATATTTTCTTTAAAAAATAAAGTGCTTTTTAGTTAGGAAAAGCAGTCTGTTTTCAGCTTTAAATAAGGCAAAACAATCACTGCATTCTGTAATTGAGAAGGCTGTGAAAAAGAAGAACTTATCTGGAAGTGTTGTATACATCAGTCAGCATCAGATACTATGAGGCAATAATTCTGTGGGGACAGGATAGATACTTACTTGTTGGAATCAGTCAGCATTGTAAGGGGTCAGATATATGCTATCAGGGACTATGGGGTCTGCATCAGATATAAATTGGAGATCGTTCTGTCAAGGACTGGAAACAAGAAACTAACTTGTAAGAATCATCCAGGCCTGCATAAACTTTTGCAGGTCCACCGGAATTTATACCCGAAACGGACGTACTGGTTGTTCCGCATAAACGAACAGGCTTTATCATTTAACAGATAGATGTATGTTTGATACATAACTCTCTCAGGGACTAAAAACTAGAAACTTACCTGTTGAAATCAGTCAGAACCAAAATTAAATGGAAGATAAATCATTTTGAATTAGAAACAAGAAAACTAACTGCCAGAGAACTAAAAATCCATCAGCATCAATGTTACCTATTGGACAATAATGTGTATCAGGTATCAACAAGAGTACTGCGGGGCGGAACAATATACGCCGGTCGAATGCCATATAGTGTTATATTTATCATTTAACAGATAGATGTATGTTTGATACATAACTCTCTCAGGGACTAAAAACTAGAAACTTACCTGTTGAAATCAGTCAGAACCAAAATTAAATGGAAGATAAATCATTTTAAATAAGAAACAAGAAAACTAACTGCCAGAGAACTAAAAATCAATCAGCATCAATGTTACCTGTTGGACAAAAATGTGTATCAGGTATCAACAAGAGTACTGCGGGGCGGAACAATATACGCCGGTCGAATGCCATATAGTGTTATATACTTTCTTACATTGTAGGAGGAGATTGCCGGACAAAAATCAAATACTGAAATAAACAAAGGGCAATCACTTTACGAAAAATTGTCGAATCAAAATTCTTTTAAGGGGGACACAACTTCATATCATGATTATAATGTATACCAAGTTTCGAAAAATGTAGGAGGAGATTGCCGGACAAACAAAAGTTTACACCGGACAAACGGACAACGCCATACCATAATACTACTGTAAAATTTGACGGGCGTGTAAAATGGGAAATAACTCCAGTCTGGGTACAAAAACTTACCTGTTGGATACCTCAGTAATATCACAATGCTCATCAGGTACAAATGGAATCACGACCACCTTCTCCAGCTCGGGTAGACCTTGTACCACCTGCTGTAGCTTGTCCAGGTGTCTATGCACCTTTCCATTGTACCAGACAGCATTCACACTAAAAATTATCTTGGGACGGATCTGTGAAAATCTGTCAAGTACCCCCTGTAAAAGTGAAAAATATCGAACTTCTTACAAGGCTGAGTATGTTTCTTCCGATAATCAGAACTTGAAATAAGCGTCTACATGTATTAGATCTGTTGGTTATATTTGTTTTGCAGTTTGCTGATTGCAATGCTCTCAGCTTGATTCAGCCCCCAGCAAATCCAATAGTCTTCAGCAAGATTCTGTGAAGAGTACAGAAGTTCCCACTGCATGGAGAATTTATGCCAAATTAAAGGTAAAGTTTGTTTGATACTTAAGCTTTTATTAAGTGACTCAGACCTAAATATGCTGAATTTAAAACGAAAATTGTAATAGCAAATTCAATAACAGTTTTAATACATGTACCTGCATCACTGTGATTTTGAAAAGGAAAAACTTTCATCTTATCTATTTTTGCGAAAAAAAATTCAGTAACAGAAAAGATTGTTTTTTAACTAGAGTATCACATCTTATTGGTTTTTTTCGAAAAAGAAAGGGAATTATAAAACTAGTCCATTTATAGGAGGGAAATGGGTGAAGAAAGAGTACATCTACACAGGATGGTGGTGTAAACTACATTTAAGGATCCCTGTCCCACTGCACTGCCAGTTTTCCTTTGTACAATAATTAAAATCCCCGTAACTTCCGTTAGGATATAACTGTAGCAGAGTTTGGCCAGGCCACTTCTGTTTAGATATAACTGTAACACAGTTTGGCCAGTTCACTTCCGTTGACCAGGAAGCTCAATAGTTAGAGTGACAGTATAATAATAGCTCGTTCAGGGTTTGAATCCCGGTCTAGCCCTTATGAATTTGTACTCTCAGAAAACTTTTGTTGTTTGATATTTTGATTGTTTCATATGTATCATTTCTCACAAAAGTCCTACAAGGTATGATGCATGGTTATCTTTACAGAAATGATTTATCAAAGCTCTGGTCATGACAGGGAGAAAACAGTTTCCAAAGCGTTCTTAACCCTTTCACCGCTATGTAACTTTAATAAACTCTACCATGAACTGATACCATGAATTGATCTAGATGAGTCCATTATGGTCTACAGTGTTGAAAGGGTTAAAGGTTTTGGCAATGGTACTGGGATATATCCTTAAAAGGGAAATGATGAGGGAGTATTAGGACGGACAAAAAGTGAACAGACTGACAACACTCTATCAAAACTACATTACATTAAAATTTTAAAACTTCAAATGTGTAGTTTTGTAGTTGTTTTTTTTTAAATTACATCTTTTAATAAACACACGCACATCACTCAGGTCATCACTCTACCACCTTACCTGCACCCCAAAGTCTGGGGAGGTGGAACTCCACACTGCCCCTATACTGGCTGTAGCTAGCATCGCCTCCACAGCCTCTGTACAGTTTGGAATGTAACCTACAACAACAATACTCCCAGTCAAATAGCAAGCCATATGTATGCTTGTATATGTATATGTATTTTTTTACCTTCCATATTTGTCTTTGCAGAAAGAAACTTTTTTTTTTTTTTTTAACATGATAATGATGAAATGAAAAAGTAGAGTATGGGTATTGTTTTTAAATTAAGTGCATTGCCTTTTTAAGAGTTTCAAAAATGACCTGATTTCTCTTCAAAATTCCAGCCCTACCAGGTACTAGTTTTTCAAAATCTGTTAAAAGGGAAATTAAATTTTTGTTTGCACTCATTTTAAACTTTTGGACTCTATGCAATAATAAACACATATTTTATTGTTTTATATTATTTTTCAGCAAGAATCCTAGGTAAATTTTACATGATGTTTCGAAAAATTTGCATCTACACAAATTGGTGTAAAAGTGTGAAATGTCCACCAAAATATGCAAAGTTTCCCTAAAATCACAAAGAAGTAAATCCCACCTGAAAGCTAGACAATTGCAAGGACAGATTGGTCCATGCTGATATAAATTAGGTTAGCACAAACAAGACTTATACATGTATTTTAACATTATGATGACTAAACAATGCCCATTCTGACCAATGAATCATCAGTCTGATGTTAATTTCTGTGTTTTACATCTATTATCAGCTATCAAATCCACTTACCTACAACACGATCACCTTTCTCAACACCCAGCCTTCTCAGGGCAGCAGTGTACACCGCGACCGACTCACGCAGTTCTCTGAATGTCTTCTTAGTAACTGATCTCCCTTCACCTGTAAAAAATAGAAAATGGTTTATTGTTGTTAACTTATTCACCCCTGAAGACACTTTTGAACTCTTCCAATTCAAAGATTGGAATGGTTCATTCTGAAATTTCAGGGATGAATGAGTTATGATTAAGTCATTACACCATACCTAAAGTCCTGCCCTTACATTAACTTAAGAAAATGTCAATTGATGTTAAATGCTAGAGCTTAAACGAAGTGCTAATGTTGGTAGCATTTTATTACCGACGAGAAAGTAGGATTGAATGGCCTCTTTAAAATAAGGGCAGGCTACGAAAAAAGATCGTAACGACGGATCTTATTTTCATTTTAATGTTTACAGATCGCAAACCGGACAGTCAAATGAATTGGTTCAAATATGTTTAAACTCATGTTTCATCAACTCGGAATTCAGATGTTGTACTTCTAGCTAATTTTTCTAGAAAAGACTCCACATAAGTGAAATATGCTGAATTAAGCCTGAGGGCCCACTCTTTAATGTGACATTTATTTAAGTTTCACATTTAATCTTTTGATCTTCAAGTATTGTATACGTAGATAATAATTACACAATAGTGTAGTTTGCATACTACAAAAGTATCCCCAAAACAGTATTGAATTAACTGGGGCCACTGGAGAGGTCATTTTATAATTCAATAATTGCCTTCAGTTCAAATGTAAAGGACTGCTCCACTGAAAATCTACATAGGAATTATCTACCCTCTAGACCTTTATACAAATAACTGAGAGTTTTACATTACGGTGAAAATGACATCAAACTAATTATAAAAGCAAGGCTTGCATATTTAATCAAGTAGTGGTCTTATGCTACACAAATTATATGGGAAAATACAACATGAGATTCATCAGTTTGGTATGAAGAATGAATGCTATGTTTGTTTTAAACACAAACAGTGATTGAAAACATGTTTTGTGAGCTTTTAAGTGGTTAAGAGACGATACAGCGTATATTTGCACTCTTTGCTTGACAAAGGAAACAGAGGCTTTTTGAGAGCTTGCAAAAGAAGTTTTTAATCACAGTTTTTGTTAAAAAAAAATAAGGATTTATATTGAATACTACATCCTGAAATTTCAGGGATTATGCTCTCTTCCATTCCATGAACCCCTGGAATATGTCATGACATAATCAAATGCTTTGTACACGCCGCTTTGTTGACCATACAAGTAGACCAGTTTGCTTCTTTGATGTACATTAACAGAATCAGGCAGCAGCTAACCGTAAAATTGACCGACTCTGAAGTCAGGTGCTGCTCCTCTGTAATTTTCAGAGGACAGGTATCAGCCTAGTGATTGGTCAGATGTTTTTTACCTGAAACCAATCAAACAGCTTACTTGGTGGCTTCCATTTTGTCACGACATTCCAGGGGTGCAGAGAACACATGTGGGCAGAGCGTAACCCTTGGGAGTATCAATAATGAGGAAAATAGCGATAGTGGTACAAAGCAGCAAAAGTAATGATGATATGTAGTACATTTATGTATTTTGTACCTGTAGCGTAGATGGCTGTTCTGTCATCTTTGTACCGTAATAGATTTTCCGCAAAGTTTAATCTAGCTCCTTCAAACCACTCTGGGTTTTCTGCAATTCCCTTACTTGTATCCACGACCTGTAATGAAATTACCATAGAAAACATTAATTTTAGCGTGTATAGAAACACGGATAAAGGGAAGCACTGTAAACCAATTACCAACTGATGATACACGTACTGGTGATCACAGCCATTACTAGTCATGGAAGCTTTTAAATAAACTGACACCAAATTAATTCAAAATAGTGTGGACATATACATCTTCCCTTTATTGTTGATATATTTCTGATTCCAGCTGTGTTAAGAATTAACAGCTTGATTTGTAGAAGTAATTCCTTATGACATTAATGATTATGATGCCAATTCAATTCATCTACTAAAACATTGGGTAGTTTCATTTAAATATGGCAAAATTTTACTTCGCAAATTTATGATACATACTTCATTTTTCTATTTCTATACATTTATTTCTATAAATAAAGAAAAACAGTAAGAAATGCTATTGACATAAACTCGACAGATGCTCTGTATGTCCCTTAGGTACTGCTCATTCATTGGAATATAGTTCAGGAGCTATATCCTTAAAATATTGCGCTGAAAAACCACCAAACCTACATCCATGTCACCAGGCCAAGTGGATGAAGCCAATCCACCCCCCCCGAGAGGTAGGAGGAGCTAGTATCCCACCTTAACCAACACCCCCTGAGAGGTAGGAGGAGCTAGTATCCCACCTTAACCAACACCCCTGAGAGGTAGGAGGAGCTAGTATCCCACCTTAACCAATACCCCTAAGAAATAGGAGCTAGTATCCCACCTTAACCAACAGCCCCTGAGAGGTAGGAGGGGATAGTGTTCCATCTTAACCAATTCCCCCTGAGAGGTATGAGGGGATAGTGTTCCATCTTAACCAATTCCCCCTGAGAGGTAGGAGGGGATAGTGTCCCACCTTAATCAACAGCCCCTGAGAGGTAGGAGGAGCTAGTATCCCACCTTAACCAACAGCCCCTGAGAGGTAGAAGGAGCTAGTGTTCCACCTTAACTAGCAACCCCACGTCATATTCATTATATAACTGAATAGTATGATTCTACCTTGTTATGAGGTTTTGAATGAATAATATCTGTGAACTTCCATACTTCTTCCCAGAATTCAGCATAATGGTCACATGACCATCGATGAAAAGCACTGTAGGTCTCTGTAACAGACAATCAAGTGATGTGAGCAGTGATACCTGTCTAATCTGACACTGTGGTATCTAAAGAGATACCTGTATAATCTGAAACAGTGGTATCTGCTGTGAAACCTGTCTAGTCTGACACTCTGTGGCATCTCGATTTGTAGTGATACCTGTCTAATCTGACACTGTGGCTTCTACAGTGATACCTGTACATCAGAGACCCTGTTGATTCCAACAAATTTGATTGATTAGGGCATCAGAAGACAAATATTTCTCTGTTAGTATTTTTATAGAAATACATTCACAACTGTATTTCAGATATGACTGGTTGTCAGAATACACAGGTTTTGGATTAGAGAGGTTTCATTGTTATCAAAAGCACATGTATAATTAATTGTAACACTACATTTTTTGTAATTTTAAGCACATAAAAGATTGTGTTTATCCATCTTGCTTTTCTCTTATTCTTATTCATTACATGTAAACTATTTTTTGTCTTCTTCTGCCTTTCTTGTTAACAATTTGTGAAACATGCAACTGTATGTATATACGATCATGTAAGTTTTTTTGCACCTGTTTTTTGGCCAAAAAAAACCCCCACAAGAACCTGTATTTCCACTTCCCTGTCTAGCCTATTGTCATATTGTCAGGTGCTTTTGTACCGATACTCTGATATTTTTCTGGTTACACATATGGACTAATAAAGAAAAATGGAAAAATTTCAAACTTGTATAACTTTCCACTTATAATTACCCTAATATTTTTTAATGCTAAATGTTGAAATACAAATATAATTCTTATTTTGTTTCAGCCTTAAGAAAAAAAATCGCTGACTATGTGGCATATCTGCCAATTTTCTTTTTGTGAAACCACTTTGTTTGTCTTCATAACAGCTTTTATTTGCTTTTAAGATGAACATGACACTAAATAAATTTTCTTATGGATCTTTTCTCTTGTATTGGGTGTGGTGTTCCTATTTTTCTCTTTAAATGACTTTTCCATACAATAATTCTCTGACAAAAAGGAAACACACCAGTATTTAGCTTTGGACCTTTATTGCTAACAAACATACCACTCCAACATTTTTATTTTTTTTATTTTTTTTAAAGACAGAGGGAGAAGGTGGGGATGTGGCAAGTTAGTCCTTTTGGTAAAATATTGATGGAAGTATATATTAAAACTGTTTACCAGGTGTTTATAGGGTCCAGTAGGGAGACCCATTCCCAATTCAAACAGGAGGCCCATGGGCCTTAACGGTCACCTGATATATTTATACAGAGAGTTGATTTTGTTTTTAACATGAACAGAAATATTATTCAAAGTGACAAAAAACAATAAAACCACCTTATTCAATATCTAGCATAGATTTAAGACTAAAAAGTATTTGAAACTAGCACCTCTGATTCTAAACAAGGAAAATGAAGAAATGTTAGCATACTGACTCCTTTGGGCCCCACCCTACAGCCCTTGGGGGTAGGGCTGGCTCAAAATGTTCAAAGTATGAAACTGTCAACTCAAGGTTATAATTCCAATCAAGTTATTGTCATGTAATATTCAAAGTATCATTTGCCATTATAAACCCATAATAAATTCCCCCTCCCCCTTCCTTCCCCACAGTGTAAACCTCACGTAAACCTAGGGTCATAAACCTTAAGACCCTTCCATCTATGTAGAGTGTTTGATTCTACCATATCTGGGTCTTTGAGAAGAAGATTTTTGAAAATTCAGCCAATTCAACCCTTTTTTCCCCACCCATCAGCCCTTGGGGGTCAGTCTGGGCTGATATGCATACTACCAAACTGCTACCTAATACTGTTAATGCTAACCCAAATTGAATTACTTCCAATGGAAATTAAACAAATGTTGGTCCAAAATGTGATTTCCCTATCTAAACTATAGTAAAGTTTACCCCCTCCCCAGGGGGAAACGTGAGACCACAGGGTTATGAAATTCACAATTTTGGCAAAGCACCTTAAGACCCTTCCATCTATGAAGAGTATTTGATTCTACCATATCTTGGTCTTAAGAAGAAGATTTTTGAAATTTCAGTCAATTCAACCCTTTTTGGCCCCACCCATCAGCCCCAGGGGTTAAACAGGGCTGCACACTATCAAACTGCTGCCTAATACTGATAATGCTAACCTAAATTGAATTACTTCTCATGGAAATTAAACAAATGTTGGTCCAAAATATGATTTCCCTATATAAACTATAGTAAAGTTTACCCCCTCCCCAGGGGGAAACGTGAGACCCCAGGGTCATGAAATTCACAATTTTAGTAAAGCACCTTAAGACCTTTCCATCTATGAAGAGTATTTGATTCTACCATATCTTGGTCTTGAGAAGAAGATTTTTGAAATTTCAGTCAATTCAACCCTTTTTTTCCCCCACCCATCAGCCCCTGGGGGTCAGTCAGGGCTGATATGTGCATACTATCAAACTGCTACCTAATACTGATAATGCTAACCCAAATTGAATTACTTCCAATGGAAATTAAACAAATGTTGGTCCAAAATGTGATTTCCCTATATAAACTATAGTAAAGTTTACCCCCTCCCCAGGGGGAAACGTGAGACCCCAGGGTCATGAAATTCACAATTTTGGTAAAGCACCTTAAGATCCTTCCATCTATGAAGAGTATTTGATTCTACCATATCTTGGTCTTGGGAAGAAATTTTTGAAATTTTAGTCAATTTGACCCTTTTTGGCCCCGCCCCTCAGGCCCCTATGGGCTTAGGACTAAACCGGCCATTATTTTTGTTGACCTTTGTCCATGATAGGTTCCTGCAAAATTTCATTGAAATTGGTTCAGGGGTTTTGGAGAAGAACTCGAAAATGTAAATTGTTTACGGATGCACGACGGATGACGATGGACAAAAGGCGATGGCAATAGGTCACTTGAGACTTTGTCTCAGGTGACCTAAAAATTACCCTGCATTTTCCGAATCTTGGTTTATATTTTCCCAATTGGATTAAAAAGCATGTTTATAAGAGTTTCCAGTTATATGTCAACGCTCGAAGTATTACCGTCTCTGTTGAAGCATTCAACATGTACAATACATGAATAATGAAAGTTGAAAACAAAATCAATTAAAATTTACATTTTTAAATATTGCAATATATTTTTTTGTTTGCTGACATTGTATCACATTTCTGGGTTCACTGATGAGATTTTCCCAATTTGTGCCAATTGCCAACGATATTTTCTCAATTTCTGCTCAGGAACGTTAACCCTTTCCCAAAATAGCTGGCAAGAACCCTATAACCATGAGCTTTTACATAAGGCCATGTCAGTTATATTTATTCATATGTAGACACGTCTCAGCTTAAGATCAAATACCTGGTGTTATATTTCAGGCTATCTGCTGTTTCTCTTATCTAGTTTTCATTCTTTTTCTTCGGTTTATACTTTTCTTTTTATTATTTTATTTCAAGATTGGGAGGGGGGAAGGGGCCAACAGATCTCTGGGAAACCCTTGTTCAGACTAATACTCCTGTAACAGGAAACAGATGCACAACTGAAATCTGCAAACTCCCATAAGAATGTTGTGCTAAATTATTCTTTTTATACAGGACCAAATGAACCAGTGAGATTACATTAATTAACATTTGTAACACAGCAGCCGTAAACACACGTAACAGTTGATAATAGTAATGTTGACTGATAGACGTTTATCAACAATCTCATTACAGGTACATGTACAGGTGGTTACAACATCTCATCTACGTATAGTAATACTTCACGATGTGTCCCTGACTTTGAGCTAAGTAAATAGGCCTGTGTCTAAACCATGGCCACACTCTGTCTCTCTGAGTCTGGGTTCAAATTGACCTGTCTCTCTCGTGGCCAATTCCTGACTGACTTGAATATAGGATGTACCCCGTTAAATGTGTTTTCACTACTAAGCCTACTAAGGCATTGCCTACAGCCATCATCAATCATTAACCTGTCAACATAAACATTGGGTACATACATACATGACCACCTGGTACAGGGTGCTTCTCATCAATTACCTGTCATATAATTATGTATCCAATGTGACCTCTAATTAACCTCGTTCACATACGTTACCCCCTGGTCAAATGTTTCACAGGTATTTGCAAACGTCTCTTAAATAAATTAAGCCCATTACTTAATTAAATTAAGCCCATTACTTAATCAAATTATTTTAAGTATTGATTGAGTTCATTTTGTCACACAATAAACTAACATGATGATTAACACAAAAATGTGCAAAGGATAGAATTCAGACTCTTTATAGAAGCTTAAGTTCAACCAAGATTTCTATTTGACTCTACAATTGTAAGGCACTTCTATGTAATTCATCGAAGTATAATCATTACAAAAATTATCTTGAACAGGTATACCCAAGAATTACAAAGCAATTCATATTGCCTAGATCTGTCTGGTTTCTCATGATATATAAATGTTGTCCTTTAGGTTCAACATACTAGTCCATGTGCAATAAATTGTATATGGAAAAGTTTATTAACAGGTTAAATTCAGTGGCGGATCCAGAGACCTATCTGGGGGAGGTTTCCAAATTTCCAGGGGGGGGGGGGGGGGTTTCAAAGTGGGGAAAATTGAGGAAACTGGTGAAAATACATGATTTTTAAAGAAAATTCTCAGGGTAGGAGGGTTTCCTGAAGCCCAAAAAACCCTCTGGATCCGCCACTGGATTTGACGAGGGCTCGCTCGCACAGTTGATGATGTGATCTGATGATGACAATGCATCATTCACATCTATACTAGCCTCGTCTGTCAATACACCCATAATAAAAGATTATATTATGGGTGCATTGACAGACGAGGCTAGTACATGTACATCATATTATTTTAAAACGCCTCTTTGAACTATCATATTCATATGACAAAATCACTATTTTAAAAATTGTTTATGGACATTTTTTTTTATTGTGCATGTTACAGGAGAAATAGTCAGGTCCAGTACACTCTGCTGATTGAGCTATATAGCTATTAAGACCTATATAGCTATATACACCTATACATTATAGCTGTATTGAGCTATATTTTCTCAGATTTCAATTTTCATTAAATTAAAGCAAAGTCGCATAAAACAATAAGGTTTATGGTAATGTTGACTACAAAAAGCATACAGTTAGATGTTTATTTTCATTTTTCATGAATGTAACATTTCCGATTTTTTTACATCATTATTTTTTAAAAAGAATCCTTATATTTAATGTCTTTTGTTATCCACCTAATGATACAATCTTCTTTTAAAAGCGACTTTGTTTTGTTTTCCTTAAAAAAGAAAATCACTTGAAAATAGCTCAAAAGACCTATTTCAGATACGGTAGGTCAATCGAGCTATTATAGGTCTTTACAGCTATATAGCTCAATCGGCAGAGTGTACTAGTACTGGACCCGATAGTAAAAGTGAAACTGCCGACACATAAGAAAAAAAGAATACAATCCAGAAGCATGCGTTATAAATGCCTTTAATCTGGATGACACATGCTCACAACTTGAAACAAGCTATGAAAAGAATAATACAATTGTCTCTATTTAATCTTGTCGCTTTCTTGTCTGTTCTTTTGTGAGCGTTGTTGTTTTGCAAGTTTGTCATGACAGGAGCCAAAACATAACTCAACGTATGCATAAAGGGAGATAACTCTAAACCAAGTGTCAATTACTTTTCAAGACGTGACACTACTTACGCAAATCCACATTATATTTTTCATTTATCAGTTTCCGAAGCTTATCCATCTTTGTTTGCTTGGTCTTATCCGGTTGCCACATAATTTTGGGCTTTGATTCTTGCACAAAATCCATCTTCGGTCGGAGCAAGCGTCTCGTCGGTACGACTTCAACGTGGTCTGGGCGTGTTTTGACTTCTCGGTAGCCGTATTTCCTTTACCGGAAGTTGATACGCAGTAAACCTATCGAAAGAATATATGTGAATATAATGCATTTCAATTTTCTTTGTTGGTACTGTCCATATCAGTAAATTGATGTTTGATAGCTTTACATGTTTAAGTTAGTAATATGTTGTATTTTGATATGAAAATAACGTTTTACCAATTGGCACTATTTTAAGGAGAGCGGTCTGATATCTAACCTGCCTTTTGATTGGTAGATTCGTCACGGCCCACTTTTTAGGAGAGTTTACACAATCTATAACTGACCTAGCCTAGACTGCTGCAAAATTGAGATTGCATACATGTCATATAGCAGTAGATTTACAAAGGGACTATTACCATGCAGCTATGTTAAATTACATAGGAGCCTGCCCCTCATAACTTTTGTTTCAGAAGTGCTACGAGATTTATGCTGCTGTTTTAACTCTTTTCAATCCTTTATACATCCGATGTTATTACTTTGAACACTCTACTAATTATTTAGATGATTAAATATAATGAGGCAAGGGTGAAGGGGGTCGAAAAATGGAATATCAGCCTGAAAGTATTTTTCTGAAAAAATCGGTATTTTTGCATCGTAATAGAATCTACCACGGAATTAGACTAAGTCCGTGAATCTACTTAGGAAAGAACATTTTCTTTCATATAGTACTTTAATAATATATTTATCATCTAAAATGTGTGTTTAATTGAACATTTTGTGAAAATTTTAATTTGAAATATATATAGGATTTTTCAGTCTTTTTATTCTTGTATACCAACAATTTTCATAATATGAAGAAGTGGTGTTATTTCAAATATATGTATCAGTCCAAAAAAAGCGATGGAAAGTCAGTATTCATTTCGCACACAAAATTACCTTATATGTACCTAACAAAGTGAGGACATAAGACACCTCCCTGGCGTCCACCAAAAAGCAATGTGCACGTACCTGATTACAGGTAATTGGTAATGAAATTCATTGCAAGCCTACAATAAACCTTTCAGTGCATGTTAAGTCACAACAAATTCATAATGTATAACTTCACAACTGCCAATGCTAAGTTGGTAAGGAACTATGGGAATGTGTGCTCCTACATCAAGTATACTTTATCATTTTGGCTATTATTGCAGTCTTCAAAATCCAAAACAGTTGCATTCAAGGCTAATAAGTTCCGACAAAGCTTGATTTTTTTGTGGATCTAGAATAACCAGTTTGAAAACAAACTCAAAACATTCCATCATTTTTTCTTCCTTTTTTTCCCCAAGTCTGCCATTCGAACACATTTCATACTCTAGCATCTTGCAAAACATTATCTGTAAATGTCATCAGCTGTTAATACGGCGTCTTTCTTAATTTATATAAAAAGCAAAGTAGCAAACAATCACACAATTCTCTGAATTTCATTGACAGTTGTCTATGAATCCGATAACTGATTGGGCAGTAAAATGAATATTTTGGGTGCCATCTTGAAAAGGAATCAAACATCGAATCTTTCCCAAACATCTTCTCTGTTGATTAAATACTCATCCTATCCAAACTTAACATTTTGTTTTCTTTTTCTTCTTTTCTGTCAGTTTTCAATCATAATGATTCGACTATACATATAGTCATGAATTTTGATGTATAGACCATAGTCATTTGATCCATTTTTGAATATGTTCCACCACATATTTTGGATTGATATTTTTGTCACTGGTAGTTCATGACCTTGTCCATCTATCATCAAAATATTTTTGGTATACAAAAGTTATAAGATACTTTTATTCTAAGATGAACCAATTTTTTGTCTGGAAAACATCATTGCTTGAGATGGCTTCTGGCTGTTGATTTGTCTGTACACATCTGATAACTAACCGAAGCAAGGGATTTTTATATGTATACTGTAGCATATGATTCGTAGTTTCAGTTGCTTCATAGATGATCCTTCATTGCATTTTTAGTTTGAAAATATTCGTCTTTTTGGGAAAAACTCTGGCGTTTTGAGAATTTCAGTTTTATGCTTCTACAAAAAACGAACCTAGTACTCATTTGAATTGTAATGGGTGTTTTTGTTATGATAAGGTTTTGGTCTTCACATCACCAAAAGAAAATTGAAATCAATGGAGGGGCCATTTTGGACCCCCCCCCCCCCCCCCCCCCCCCCCTTTTTTATTTTATTCTATATTTCTTGTTTATTTACTATCTACTTTATATATATGAAATAAAGACATTTTTTTCTGCCACACACTGACACATACTGGTTAATGTCTGTACAATCAGAATATGTTCAATCTTTTATGAACACTAATACTACATGTACGTAGATACTATTATTCAAGAAAACCTTCTCAAGTTCAAATACAAGTCAATTTTTGTTTCGATGATAAATGATAAAAAAGTGTCATTCGTTTGGAAGAATTTGAAGAGATTTGAAGTCTTACACAATTTTCAATATTCACACTTGACTTTGTTTCACTGTGTCACATGACATGATTGTATAGTTTTGGTATAAAATCCATGGTTAAACACGAGGCTGGTTTTATGAGCTACGGACCAATTAAGTTATTCAAAGCTCGGTTAAGTTACGCCAATAAGGTTTATGCAAAACCACAAATACGATGTGACTTCGAAACTTGAGTTAACAGCTAATTTGACACAACAGTTAGACCTCTGAAGTGTGCCGACATATTCCGTCTTTGCGTATTGTAGAGTTATCTTCTCTTGGGAGCAGGTATTGATTGTTTCGTCATTAGTTTGTGCGAGAAAATTACGTCGTTTTCTCAAAAAATGATGACGTTAGTCTCACAAACAAGTGAAGTAACAATCAATACCTGCTCCCAAGGGAAGATAACTCTGCAATACGCAAAGACGGAATACTATTCCAATATATATATTTGTATAACTATCACTTCAGCATTCATTATAATTACTCCAATCAAAATGTAACAGAGATGCAACGTTTATAAAATTTATTGAAACAAACATGAAAAATATCACAGAAGCAAATTATAATATTTTGCGAAAAGTATAAACATTGGCAATTTATAAGATGCGCGTGTAAAGTGACGCGTACAAAACAGCATGACATATATCAAATATATGTATAAAGTATACATTTATTTGACCAATAAATATTCAAAGATGAATGGTTAATATTTCAAAACAAGAATAAAAAAATTCAATTGCAAAGGCTTAACTTCATGTTTCATCAATATCCATTTTACTAAAGTTCAAACAGTAATTGCAACTCCGGTTCATTAGTACACTTCCTCCACCGTTGGGCCCGTACTTGCCCCTCATTGTGCCTCCTGGCCACAGCCTCCATGGGGTGCCCCACCATTGCCCTGTTCGGAACCCCTGTGTAGTTTGGTCATGATTGGTGAACACAGTTTCTGGAATTCATTTAGTTGATATTCGTATTCCTCCGCGTCAGCCATTGTGTTACTGTCCAACCACTTCAGATTGTCCTCACAACCCTTACAGACAATTGATTTTTCCTCCGACGAAACTTTGTCACCAGCGTTTTCCATGGCCTGTTTGACACTAAAAATGTAATTCTCGAGTTGGTTCCTGGCCGAAACTCTTTTTCTCTGTTTCTCGTCTTCGTCTTTATATCTTTCCGCGTCGGCCACCATTTTCTCAATGTCTTCTTTGCTCAGTCGTCCCCTGTCGTTTGTGATGGTGATTTTGTTGGATTTCCCCGTACTTTTGTCCTCGGCTGACACATTGAGTATTCCATTAGCATCAATATCGAACTGAACTTCGATCTGAGGAACACCTCGGGGTGCAGGAGGGATGCCGTTTAGTTCAAACTTTCCCATTTGGTTATTGTCTTTTGTCATAACTCGTTCTCCCTCGAACACTTGAATACTAACACCAGGCTGGTTATCAGAATTCGTTGTAAATGTCTGTGACGTTTTTGTTGGAATCCTTGTGTTTCTTTCGATCAATTTTGTCATCACACCTCCAGCTGTTTCTATTCCGAGGGACAAAGGCGCCACGTCCACGAGAAGAACATCCTTGATGACGTCACTACTGTCGCCAGTAAGCACGGCAGCCTGAACCGCGGCACCGTACGCTACAGCTTCATCGGGGTTGATGGATTTGTTGAGCTGTTTTCCATTCATGAAATCTTCGAGCATCTTTTGTATTTTTGGTATACGTGTAGATCCGCCAACCAAGACGACCTCGTGGATTTTCGATTTGTCCATCTTTGCATCACGAAGTGCCTTTTCCACAGGTTCTAGAGTAGCACGGAATAAGTCGGCACACAAGTCCTCGAATCTAGCTCTCGTGAGCTTACTGTAAAAGTCAATACCCTCAAACAGAGAATCAATTTCGAGACTTGCCTCACTGTTGCTCGAAAGGGTTCGTTTGGCACGTTCACATGCAGTTCGAAGCCTTCTCAAAGCCTTGCTATTCTTACTCAAGTCTTTGCCATGTTTCCGTTTGAACTCCTGTACAAAATGATTGACTACTCTGTTGTCGAAATCTTCACCACCCAAGTGTGTGTCACCAGCAGTAGATCTCACCTCGAATATCGACCCCTCATCGATAGTCAAAATGGACACATCAAAGGTTCCTCCACCCAGGTCAAAGATGAGAACGTTTTTCTCGTCTTTGAGGTTTTTGTCCAATCCATATGCCAGCGCCGCAGCCGTCGGTTCGTTGATAATTCGGAGAACGTTAAGTCCAGCAATCACACCAGCGTCCTTTGTCGCCTGTCTCTGAGAGTCGTTGAAGTAGGCTGGCACCGTGATCACAGCATCCTTGACCGGGTGACCCAAGAAAGCTTCTGCCGTCTCCTTCATTTTAGTTAGAACCATGGAACTGATTTCCTCTGGTGTGAACTGTTTATTTGTGTCTCCTTTGCAGTCCACCTGAATCTTTGGTTTACCTGCGTTATTGACAACCCTAAACGGCCAATGTTTCATGTCCGACTGGACATGCTGGTCATCAAACTTTCGACCGATGAGTCGTTTTGCATCAAAAATAGTGTTTTGTGGGTTCATGGCTACTTGTCCCTTGGCAGCGTCCCCAATTAATCTCTCAGAGTCTGTAAAGGCCACATAACTAGGCGTAGTCCTGTTTCCCTGGTCATTGGCAATTATTTCCACCTTTCCATGTTGGAATACTCCGACACATGAATACGTTGTACCGAGATCTATTCCAATAGCTGGTCCTTTACGTGAGCTTGCCATGTCTGTCTTCAAGTGGAGTCAAAACGAAAGTAGAGTATCGGTTGCTTTATGTCGCTCGCTAGCTGTGTGCTGGATATATACACACCTTGTGTAATGTCAGTTCTCTGTTACTTTGAAGTAGAACTGTACGAATTCTTTTCTGATTCTGACCACAGTCTGGTTGATCCATGGTTATATACTCTCCATTGATTATTTCTTGAATTATCTAGGAATCTAGAACGTTCTGGTGATTCGATCATTCTAGAAACTTCCCGAATGAATTTTGGTCAGCTATTGTTATGAGGCACATCAAGGGGTTGTTTAATACATTATAACAACTGAATAGTTCTTGGCTTGTGATTGTCTATAATGTTATCACACATACCAATGGTATGTACAGCCTTTATAATATTTACGAGACAGACTGATTTGTTATATAAATATTATATGAGAATACAAACGTTTTCTCCATATTCCATAACAGAATAGTGGTCATACTATGGTAACATAAACCCGAACAGGATATTTATGGTTTTTCTTCACTTTTTAAATAATATTCATGACATATTTAACAAAGGCACATTGAAGTTTTTGTTTTAGTGAGGGTCTCAATTTAGTTTCATAATAAACATTTTGACGATAAGGACAACACGTTTAACTGTTATATAGTTAAGATTGAGGCTAGCTATAAACCGAGAGACCGACATTTTATTGTATATACATGTGTACCTGTATAATTCTTTTTTTTTTTTTTTTATCAAAAGTACTTGGACAGATAATTGTCTGTACTATCAGAATATGTTCGGATTGATTTCATAATCACAATCACAAAATACTACATATTGCAATCATCACATCAACCACATAAGTGTGTATATGTCACACATATAATAAGGGAAATGCACAGAAATAGATTGATTTCATAAAATATAACATTGAACAACAACTTGAGGGATGCCACCTCCATCTTTTTCCGGTCAACATAATATCTTTACTGTTTCAAATTAAAATAATCAGAGAGCGGTTGTGAGATGGAAAACGTTTTCCCAATCAAATTGCTCCTTATGAAGAAAATATAGTCAGCCATTCCATTTTGTGTATTATAGGCACTATGATAAACAAAATTGACTGACTATATTTTCAAATATATCACAATGTCATCTTACAAGTAAATAGTTACAAAGTATAAAGCATTTTGTTACATAGCAGGAATCCATTCTCTTAATGTAAAAATATATAGACAATATTATAATTTTGTTAAGAACAGTTATAATACGTAATATGTTAATAAATTAAAACAAACTATCACAGGTTGCAATCCAGAGAGCAGATGATGTGGACAGCCCCTACCTAACAAGCTCTCTGGATTTTGTATTTACATATTATATACTATCATAAATATAAGGTTTATTTTACATTAACTGCATTAAAACATGATGTATTTGAAAAATAATAACAATAATGATAAATAATAAATACATAAATATATTATAGATATGATTATATGTTTAACTTAATTGACAGCCTCGCCGAAATAAAAACTTCAAAGTTTGTTTCTTGTATGTCAAATAATTTTATCAAAAGAAAACTAATTAAAGATCCCGTGCAAATTGGTTATATTAGGCTACATGAGATAATATTATGGACATTATTCTGTTATTCTATAAAACGACTTTATTTCCATAGTATATTATAAGGCAATTCGTTTGTTTTTTAGATAGGGTGAATATATTATTGTTTAGAATTTATAGACATGAGGACTGAGTAAAATGGACATCGAGAGAATGGTGGCCGACGCGGAGAGATACAAAGACGAGGACGAAAATTATACTAGGAAATTACGGAAAAGCTGGTGACAAACTTTCGTTTGAGGAAATAATCTGAATTAGTATGAAATAGTAATTTAGTAGTATAAATCTGAAATAATTACACAATGGTTTGCGTGGAAGAATGCTACTGTAAACTACATGTATAGTAATTTCAAAACTTGAACTGTTCACTCATTCCAAGAGGGCAATTGTGGCGCCCCCTGGGTCAGGGTTGGGGGGTATTGTCCGGCACGAGGAGGGACAGACTCAACACTGGAATAACTACTGATGCCGCTGCATGAAATTGTAATTATGACCGGAAAAGTGTTTCCGATATGAGTATAGCTTTGATACATCATTTGTAAAAAGAAATGTTATACTTGGTGGAACAATCATGAAAAAAAATAAGATAAAAACAAAAACCTTGAAATGCAACGGAGCCCGACCAGGATTCGAACCCAGGATCTCTGACCATTACACTGTCGCTCTAACCGTGCATCAGCACACCCTCTTTACACTTCATACCCGAAACAAAATGACAGGGAGTTTACTTTAGCACGGAAGCTCTCTAGTGTTTTGTCTGCAGTGGGACACGCATCCTCAAATACTTTGCTCCACTTCTTATCTCTGAACATTTATACAGCATCACGTATGTTGCTTTTGGTGTACATTGTAATGTATTCGAACATGTGCAGTCCTTCATCAAATCCAGCGGAAGATTTTGAACATAAGCTATCTATATGTGTATATTTATTACAATTACATGTAATTGACTTCTTTCAATTTTTGAATTTGAAATTAATTGTCTATGTCATCACTTGTATACGTGAAATATTTTGTTGATAGGAGATGGCTTCATAAGTTGCTATAACTTGTGCAAAATCCTTTGTACTTAGAATATGTTTAATGTCAAAAAGTCAAAGTATATTGTATTGAATGCATCTCTTTGTGTTCATGAATATATTTTGTCAAGAATGAATGCCAAAACTTGTATTATTTCTGTGATATCACAGAAATAATATAAGTCTGTTTTGATACACATATTTACTCTGACAGTATACATAAATTATGTGCAGGATTTACAATCCTCTGACAGTCCACTTATAACATAAATATACATGAATATGATTTAATTTTGTATTTCATAGAGGAGTTTATTATTTTATAATCTGTTATCAATAAATTTAAGAAACGTTAACGTTATACATGTAGTTCATTTTAATGCGAGTTCTGAATGAATCTGAAACGAATACAAAGGTCATTTACATTTTGTTAATTATAGGATTACGGTCGCATTTTAGATTCGAGCTAGAGGGAATGTCCCTTTATACAGCTCAGTGGTAGAGCATTTTCAATGATATTTCTTAAATTGTGATAAAAAAATATATTGGGAGAATATTTTATTTTTCAAATATTTTTTTTTTCTCCATGTAATACATGGTGTAGCCACTGCCACACCTGGTACTTTAATGGGGGTACATGGCACTTCAATGGATACACCTACAATGTACATGTAGCACTTCTCGGTCTAGGAAAGCATCACACACATCTACAGGGGCACGGGTACTGATTACATCCACACCTGCCCATAAAGAACCTAGCCTATCTGTAGATAGTAGGTACACTAATGTCCAACGGCTCAGATATAGAGTAAGTACTTGTACATGTATGTATATACTTTTACGGAAAATATCACCCACAATGTGACACATAAATTGTCGTAATATAAATTATGTTTACTGTATGTATGTATACAGATGGTAAATTATAATAAAATGAAAACATTGCAGAGCTCAGTCATCTCACTCATATGATATAACTGGTGTGGAAAAAATGCATCAGACTCGGAAGTTTATAATGGTAATATTCAATGGAGTAGCTATCAAAGCAAAAACATACAAAAAATATTGATGTACAGAACTACATTTTACACCAAAATACCAGACATGAAGCTTGTAAGTGGGGCAACTTTAAAATGAAGAGAGATGACAGACAATATTGAATAAGACTTCCCTCGCTACTCATTTATAATTATAACACATGAACAAATGGTTGTTCGAATGAAATAATGAATGTGTGATTGAACTTCAGCAATGAGATGAATGAATATATCATGTAAAAAACAAAATACATGTATGAATGAATGTATGAACTAATGATTGTCTGTGACTGGAAGTATTGTGTACTGATACCAGGGCTCCAACCCTGTCAGCTTTCAATTGTAAATTTAAATCTGGAACAATAAAATATTGAAAAAAATGAAAGCATTTTGAGTTTCTCGGCTCCTTTCATAATATCAGTAGACACAACAAAGAAACCGTAACTGACAATATTTGTCCAAAATTGAGACTTGTATACAGAGAGACTAGTAACATGTTCTTTGCCTAAACTCCTCGTGGTATGAGGTCATTTAAGACGAGAGGCCTCGGAAGGCCCAATATATTCCAACTTTTATTGTTACTACATAATGATAAAGGATGAAAGTATACAAATACATGTATACAGCAAGTTTGATTATAAATGTGACTTTGAAATTTAACCTGGTGATATTTAACTGTGGCCATGTGATTCCTTGATGGATTCCAACCAACTCTGCTTCAACAAAATGACCTCTGTAACCTTCACCTTTGGTCGTGCAACCCCTAGTTCTATCTACATCTTTAACATCCAAGTTTAGAGCCATGAGTCTTACAGTGATTCTGCTATTTTTAACAGACCTGTTTTAATTTGTATTCGCATTTTTGATAACTGAGGGATTTTTCAAATCACAGAATATGTATGCAATCATTTTATATATGTATGATATAATTATGTGGTTTATGATTGCATAATGAAATATTGTAGGGCAATTAGTATGTGCAACTTGTGTGCATTCAAACATTCTGCTTTCTTTATATAACAGTAAATGGATAATAGATTAAAACTGGATCTAAAAAGTGATGCTGTGCGTAATAAACACGTCTATAATCAATTGATAGGCCGGCCTATTTATCAAAGTTTCAATGACACAGGGTCAATATGCCTGTTCCTTCAAGTTTGGTCTAGATACGTCTTTGGGCCGTTTTAATTATTTAATTAGTATTCCCGACAGTCCCAGGCAAACACTTGTTGTATTTTTATTAACTATATGCTACTGTTGCTTCAAAATAGTAAATACAACTTTACAAATGAAACGATGACATTGATGACGGGTTTTCGATTGCCCCTCATGGGGCCCCATCGCTGCATTGGACGGCGATTTGCAGTGATTTCCACGTTTATTGACATTATCATCAATACCGTTATATATAACAACAACATATAGGTAGGAATACTACACTTGCATCATACATGACCTTTGAAAACAATTATTTACGTATAGTATTGCTGTCTTGCCCGCTAGTTGAGTCCGACATGGCTGATAGACGTCGTGCTATTGTTGTTATCTTCATTGCC